TAATGTATTTTAGGTGCTATTTTTATATATTTTTAAATTTAATTTTTTTATTTAAAACAATCAAAGGTTTATTTTAAGTAAAAAACTCAAGTCTTGCATGTTAAATTTTGAAAAACAATCTTATCATCGTGTCTATATCATGTCATATCGCCGATACCATATTTGCGTTTGTACTTCACATGGCGTCCCACTTCATTCATACACAAGTGGAGCAGTGCAGAAACGAAATGGGGATGGCGTGGGAAATTGGGTCAAATAGTTTCTGCTCATTTTCATGCTTCAGTTAACTCGTTGACATTTGACTTTCCACACAAAGAGTAAAGGGCGTGGGGTCTAACCCAGACGGCACTAAAAGACCAGAGCTGAGAAGCCGGTCTATACATCAATCATTTCCAGGTTAAGAGCGGTTTGTGTTCGCCCTTTGCCTTGCACTAGAATAGTATGATTGGTAGCAGTTTACTCGTAACTTGAAAATGTTGATTTGTTTGGTTTGGTCCTTTACTTTATGGATTTGGTGTTAGAAGAGTATCGAGGAGATGATATTTTCAAATTTTAAAAGGAAAAATTTATAACTTATTAGTAGCACTCTATTGTAAGAGATTATGAATCTAAATCTTAACAAATTAGTTTTATTAAAAGTTTTGAATTTATATGTTCAATATAAGTTAAAAATAAAAGAAGATATTTTCAAATTTTAAAAGGCAAATTTTAAGATTGTTTCAATCTTCATCCTTTCAAAACTAAAAAATAATTATTTTCAACAATAATAAAACTAGTTTTTTTGGTTTGATCCTTTAGTTTATGGATTTGGTATAAAAAGAGTTTGGAGGAGATGATATTTTCAAATTTTAAATCAAAGAACTTGTGATTTATTGGTGATGGTTTTCTGTAAGAGATATAAATTCAAATCCTAACATATTAGCTATATTAAAAGTTATATATATATATATGAGTTAAAAAAAAAAAAGAGATATCTTCAAATTTTAAAAGTCACATTTATAGGCTGTTTCAGTCTTCACCCTTCTAAAACTAAAAAATAATTATTTTGCAACAATAATGAAACTAGTTTTTTGTTTATTAATTACGCTAGAAAATTCTTTATTTAATATAAACAATGTTAAATTCTCAAAAGAAAAAAAAATCAGTTAACATTAAAAGGTAGGAAACAAAAGTAATTTATAAATTACAACTACAAAAATAGGTACGAATACCCACTGTATATACGGTATCCAACATAATATGTGTATGTTGTTTAGATTGCAAAATACTTATTTTTGTCACGTGGGTCAAATTTTGGTTAGGATCCACGGATAACGTGTCAACCAGGAGCGAAGCTACGTAGTGAAGATAGGGGACAATTTACTCCCTTAATTGTTTGAAAATCTCAACTTTAATCCTTATATTATTTTTATCTTTTAACATTGGTACAGATAAAAATATATCAATTACCTAGCTTAATTTCTCTGACTTCCCCCTTTAGTCCTTGTATATTTTGTACCTTTTCACATAGGACCAAATAAAAAAAATGCATCAATTCTCCTAAAATATTCTCTTTTTTTACCCTTGTAAATGAAAAATTGTCTCCCCTGACAAATATTTCAAGCTTCGTCATTGCTTCCAAATAGCCAGTAAATTTATGTACATAGGACAAAACTACAACTACCTGCAACGCCAGTGTAGATTGTTATTGCTGCTTCCGTAACTGGTTCAATGAGAGTAACAGGTTTTCCCTCGCCACTACCAACAGCCACACCTCGAATATCACTGGTCCAATACATGTTATCTTTTATATTATTTGTAATCTTACTATAAAATATCAACAAATGAATTATAAATAAAAAACCAGTAATTCCAAAAGATTAGTCTAATAGTTAAAGATGTTTTATTTTTATTTTTTTAGATTCAAACTTTGAGTCTGATATCCTGGAATCTAGGATAACTTATTAAATTTATTTGAATGTCTCTTATCCATTTGGAAATTATCAAGAATTTAATTTAATTTTAATTGATATACAAAGTGATTTGAAAATATTTTTATTGTTGAAAAAAAAATAATTAAGATTATGTGATCTTACAAATTTCAAGCAAGCAAAGAATAAGTTTCCGTTTTCTTATTTTCTTCAAAATGAAGATTAAAAAAAAAAAAAAAATCAAGATCTAATCTACTGGAATGAAACCAGTTGGTATGTGATTTGCAGAAGATGACTGCAAAACATGTCCTATAACTAAGCAACAGAACGCTATGTACTTTCTTTCCCCTACAAATGCTAACGCTAAGTCCATCTAAAACAACGCGCCCCTGATACTAATTCTTCCAGAAGAAAAAAAATTGCCTCTTGAATCGGAACCAGAATACAAGTCATGCTTACAAATCAAAAATGAAAACAAGAAATAGATTATTAAACAAATTTTTAGGGGAAAACCTCAAAAACTACCCCAACTATAACTGTATACGTATATCCCGAAAGCCTCCTGACTTTTTTTTTAATCTCATTTGGGTTCTAAAAATTTCCAAAATTCTCATTATAATCTTTCCATTCATATCCATATATTACGAGTTCCGTTAAATTATTTAAAAAACTTAGGTAATGTTTGATAACTAAAAATAGAGTGATGAGAATACGAATGGAAGTTTTATTTCTACATTATAACTCGTTTGGTTAAAAAAAATGCAGTGGAATGAAAATGAAGAATGGGAATTGGGAATGAAAATTTACACACAACTTTATTCCCACATAAGATGTGGGAATAAAAACAAGAAATGGGAATGAATTTTTTTTAATAATAATATATTTTATTTATTAACTACTTTTACCACTACCATCACCATCACCGCAACCACCACTACCGCCGCAATCACTATCGGAACCATTACTGTAATAAACATCACCACTTTTACTTTTATTATTTTTACAATTGTTATAATTTGATAAAATTATTTTTTTAATCATTAGTTTTGTTTGTATAAAAAATTAGATATTGAAAAATTTAAATTGCATTTTGATTCCTCATTAATATTCTAAACATAGTATCAAAATACAAATGTCATTCCGATTCTTTAATTTTTATTCTGATTCCTACATTCTCATTCTCATCACTCTACTCCCGATTATCAAACAATACCTTAAGATTTTACTACTAATTAGACACTTAATGAAAATTTAATTAATAATCTTTTAATATTAATTACAAACTTCTATATACACACACTCTATCTATTGAAGGCAACGAATAGGGTAGTAAATGCACTTGATTCCACGTATCACTATTGTTTGTTAAAAAAAAAAAAAAAAACATAAAAAAAGAAAATTTTAATAAATGTATCCAGATTAAATTATAAATTAGCCTCTCTCTAGTTTAGAGAAATGAATTAACTATATTTTTTTCAAAAATTAAAAAAAGTAATGATCTACTCTGTATATTTTTTTAATTGTCTTGTAACTTAATTTTTTGGTTTTTTTATTTTTTTAAATAAAAAATTGAAAGAGTTGAAAAAAAAGATAACATTTTTAAAATAAAATAATATTAAATTACACATGTTCATTATGTGTCAAAATATTAAATAATTAATTTTTTAAAAAAGAAACTAATCAATTCATTTAAAAAAACAAAGGGACTAATTTATAATTTACTCATATATTACACATGTTAGGAAAAAAAAAAAAAAAAAGCAGCAGAACTTCCTGAAGTCGTATAAAAAAAAAATCGAAAAGCAGGGAGGGTTCGTTGCAGTTAAATACGCAACAACCTCTCCATTTTTTCCCTCCATCGCTTGCTCTCTCTCTCTCTCTCTCTCTCCCCCTCCCTATCTCAGTCTCATTAGATATAGATAGTACATTGCTTTCTGATTCTCTTGCAATCACTTAAATCTCTCTCTTTCTTTCATTTCCTATCTCCTTTTCTATAATTTGTACGTGCACTACCTCTCTCTCCATCTCTCTCTCTTTCCTTCACATTTAATAAAAACCTAGCACCTATTCTTCTTTTTTTCAACTTGTGCCTTTCATTCACATCCAGACAGCTCATAATTCTTCTTTGTGCTTTCTTCTTAATCTCTCTCGCTGCTGCACTTGAGGTATATACTACTTTGCTTGATTTTTTTTTTTTTGTTAATTTAGACCATCATCTACTTCAATTTTGTTCTTTTAATTCGCCCCTTTCTTATTTCTTGATATTAAAACAAGAGAAATATATCTTTATTTTCTAGCCTAGTTCGTGTTCGCGTTTAATTGATTTTTTTTTTTAATGGTAGAATAGAAAAGGAAGGGTTTTCAAGTACTTTGAAGAACAATGGCTATTATTACCATGGGAAGCTAAAGAGTAGACAATTCTAAAGTGTAACTTATATCAATTTTTTAATCTTAACGTCAGATGAAATAGTTGTTAGAACATATGTCACTTTAAATAATTAAATCAATAATCCATTCATGACAAGGCTAAGTTTTTTGGATTAAATCTAATGTAAACTATCTAACTCTATAATAGAAAAAAGATTTTTCTGTTGATTCAATTCTCGAATGCCTTATGACATATATATTTTTCCTTTTAATTCTGTTTTTAAGTTTTGTTTGTTTTTCATTTTGTTAATTGTGCTTTTTGACTAGTTGAATCTTCCCTGCCTTTATTGTATTTTCGAATTTTCCTGCTCGGTTCAGTCGTCAATTTGTCATCATCGTGTAATCTTAGACGTGCGGCAGTGGACCTTACCTTTTGGAACTCACTTTGTTCACACAACTGTGTAGTGTGGAAATAATTTTCTTTTGAATGTCTTTTTCTCAATTACTTCATCTTTTTCGTTTGTTGGAATCTCACATGTCGCATAGACCTAACATTCTGAGTCAACACGTTGACTCCTCTGGGTCACCACGAAACAACGTCCAGAACTATTTTTATCGAAGGATTCCGTTCGTTTTTTTTTTTTATAAAAAAAGAAAGTATTGTGCATAGTTTGTATGCCGATTTATTGATTGATATTTGTTGTGATAATTCCAGGGAAAATCATGGCTGGGGAACAATTACAAGTGCTCAATGCACTTGATGTGGCCAAAACACAATGGTACCATTTCACAGCAATAGTGATTGCTGGCATGGGTTTTTTCACTGATGCATATGATCTTTTTTGCATCTCCCTTGTCACCAAATTGCTGGGTCGGATATATTACTACCAGCCAGGTTCTGATACTCCTGGAGCTTTACCTTCAAATGTGTCATCAGCTGTTAATGGTGTTGCATTCTGCGGCACCCTTTCTGGTCAGCTCTTCTTTGGCTGGCTTGGTGACAAAATGGGCAGAAAACGTGTCTATGGTATGACATTGATGATCATGGTCATTTGCTCCATTGGTTCAGGCCTCTCTTTTGGCAAAAACCCTGCTGCTGTTATGTCTACTCTTTGCTTCTTTCGCTTCTGGCTTGGATTTGGCATTGGGGGTGACTACCCACTTTCTGCTACAATCATGTCTGAGTATGCTAATAAAAAGACTCGCGGTGCTTTTATTGCTGCTGTTTTTGCCATGCAAGGTTTTGGAATCTTGGCTGGTGGGATGGTTGCTATTATAATTTCTGCTGTTTTTAAGACCCAGTTTCCTGCCCCAGCTTTTGAAGTTGATCCAGCTGGCTCGACTGTGCCTGAAGCTGATCATGCTTGGAGGATTATTGTGATGTTTGGTGCAATTCCAGCTGCACTTACCTATTACTGGCGAATGAAGATGCCTGAAACTGCACGTTACACTGCCTTGGTCGCAAAAAATGCTGAACAGGCTGCATCTGACATGTCAAAAGTGCTTGAGGTTGAGTTGCAGTCAGAACAAGAGAAAATTGAGCAGGTGTCAGGTGATAAAGGGAATGATTTTGGTCTGTTCTCTTCACAATTTGTTCTTCGGCATGGACTCCACTTGCTTGGAACCACTACCACTTGGTTCTTGTTGGACATTGCATTCTACAGCCAGAATCTGTTTCAAAAGGACATTTTCAGTGCTATTGGGTGGATTCCTAAGGCCAAAACTATGAATGCCCTTGAAGAGGTCTTTAGAATTGCTAGAGCACAAACTCTAATTGCTCTTTGCAGCACGGTTCCAGGTTATTGGTTTACTGTTGCCCTTATTGACAAGATTGGTAGGTTTACCATTCAATTGATGGGGTTCTTCTTCATGACAGTATTCATGTTTGCCTTGGCCATACCTTACAATCACTGGACTCTACCAGACCACCGAATTGGCTTTGTTGTGATGTATTCACTCACTTTCTTCTTTGCCAATTTTGGTCCCAATGCCACCACATTTGTTGTCCCTGCGGAGATTTTCCCAGCGAGATTCAGGTCTACTTGTCATGGTATATCAGCTGCATCTGGCAAAGCAGGGGCAATTGTGGGTGCATTCGGGTTCTTGTACGCTACAGATAGTATCGGAGTGAGGAAGACTCTTTTAATTCTTGGTGTAGTAAATTTCCTGGGAATGATGTTTACTTTCTTGGTACCTGAGTCGAAGGGAAAATCACTTGAGGAAATGTCTGGTGAAGGTGCGCAAGAAAATGGATCCCCAGCTGAGTCTAGGCAAACTGTTCCAGTTTAGTTAGGCTTTCTTTCTATGTAGTATGTTTGTATAATCTCAGGAAATTAGCGGAAGATGCATAAACAAGCATGCTTATGAGCATACTAAGCTCTCAGAATTCTGCTTTCTTTTCTAGCTGTGAAATACCCGGTCTTAGTTGTATGAAAAAAAAAAGACCTCTCTAATGGCATGGTTCTCAGTTTTCTTGTACGGTTCCTATATTATGAATCTATTTATCACCGTTTACATAACCTTTCACCTTAATTATACCAGGAACGTTTTACAGTATCGTATTCCTGCTCTCTAATCACCTTTTCTTGGCACGGCTCCTTGGTTTGCTAAGAGGACAGTGAAAACCCAATTCTTCTTCCTTGTTTTGCTCTCGTGTCTTCTCAGAACCAACAGGAAAGCATGTGATTTGTTTTCCTTTCCTGGACACTTTCGCTGTTTTGTTTGCGGCATTTATTGGTAACATTCCTTGGTCTTCTTTACCTTTGCTTGAGATGTGAAATTAAATTGGAAATTAGGGACCGCTTCTCAACCCTGTACGTCTAAATGGTTCTGTTGTTGCATGCAGTAATGTATTTTGGGCTACTAATCCTTGCATAAATGATGTTATCCTTACCGAGAATAGAGTAATTTGGTGGTTAAAAGGCAAGAACTTTCTCTAAGTTTAAAGGAGTGGAGAAACACCCTTACAGCCACTACACTCCCGGATGGGGTACTAGGCAGCAGGCGCCAAGCAGAGCATGTGCCTAGAATAGTCCCAGCTTGATCGATCCTTTTCTTAATCGAAACTATCATTGTTCAAGCCTTAATTAAGGTGCCTTTGGTTATCTCTTTGCTCCACCAGAGTCCAATCCAAAGAAGACTGGCATCTTTGATTCTGCTTTAGCCTTTGCTTGTTGCCACCGTCCCTGCTAGCTATACAATATTGATGCTATCCTTATCGTAAAGCAACAAGCAGTCAAAGTCTAGGAGAAAGTTTGATAGTTGATCAGTGCGCTTCATTTTCTCATAATCTTGAAACGATTTGCATCTTTATCAGACTCTAAGCAGAACCTCGACTTTATGAGCACATAAACATCATTTCCCCACTCCTTTTCGGTGATATTTGTCATTTTTCGAGTATGAATTTGGATTCTGAATGAACACACAAGAATCCAAACTTGCATCAATTCTTCCTTCTTCCACAGCCTTTTTAGCAACCAATGGAAAGCATACCATTTTTCTCATGTTTCCACTGTTGTATTGTCCGGGCATGTTTGGAAGTTTAGCTGGACTTTCCAAATTTTTTTGTTCCAATTTAAATCGAAGAATTAGACCCTTTACCTGCTCTGTTTTAGGTTAATGACGAATTTTTGCTCAACATGACAATAATTAATGCCAATGTCCAACTTGTAGAACAAAAAAAGATGTTTCGAATTTGGAGAACAAAAATCAAATCATTATTGGAGGATTTTCTTTTTTAACCCCTTTGAAAAGAACTTGGATTAGTAACTCTTCTTTCAATTATGTTATCCGCCAAGAAAAGATTTCATAATCGAGAGGTTATATAATTGGTGGCTTGGCCAATGTTGGATTTTTTTATTTTATTTTTTTTGTTGGTTTGTATTTGCTGGCTCGTGCTATGCCGCAAGAAATTCTCTTCTGGTACGAGTAATTGACTGAACGAAAATTTGTTTAGGATGGTTCAATCACAACATGTTAAGCCGTATTTTCCTAAAAAAAATTTGGATAATTTTGTCCCCTTAAGATTTATATGCTATTTTAATTTCATCCAATACTTCTGATTTGTTTCAATTGAATACCGTAGCTTAAGAGAGTTAGTTTATGAAAATATCCTCAAATCCTACAAACTTCAATTCACACTTAACAATATCATCTTTTTATTTGTCAATACTATAGTTAAATAAAAATAAAAATTCAAATTAATTTAACTATTTTTAATTATTTTTTGAACTATTACTATTTTGTCAAAAGTTTCATAATTACAATTCCTCTTATATATATATATATATATATGTATGTATGTATTATCATCAAATAAAATATTTGATATGTACAAATAATCAAGTCTTAGGTGATGTTAGAATTATCCTATACTCAAGCGATCGTTGATCTCAATTTTTTTTTTAATTTGTTTTCAAGATTTTAATGAAAAATTAAATAAAAATAAATGAATGTAATTTGCTAGCAAGAGAATGTATGAGAGGCGACAACATTGGTTGATGATATTGCTACTAAAAATTATTTTTATTACTTTTTTTTCGGTTTAATTTTATTTGTATATTGTCAAAGAATTGCTAGATAGTGTTAATGAAAAAAATAATTAAATGTATTTTTTATTAAAAAAATTAAGGATTTTTTAATTTGTCAATTTTTACCTTTCGGGTTGTATTAATATATTCATAAGCCTTAAAAACGAAATTGAAATTGACAAATAGTTGAACAAAAATAAAAAATCTAATTGAAACAAACAAAAAAAATTACGTAAAATTAATACAATACATATATCTCAAGAAAACTAACTGAAATTTACCCAAAACATTTTGGCAGAATAGAAGTATTAAAATAAAAAGTTGCGATACCAATAATAGATTAAAGTTCGAGAAGCAAATGAACGAAAAAGGATAAGTGCATAGGGGAAAAAAAACATTACTAAACCAATGAATAGTTGTCCTGGTTTGTTTCTGTTAACAGAATTCATCTCTAAAGAAAAATATAGAAAATCAACTGAGAGGAGAGTTGACACAGATAATAAGATTACGTTATTTTGAAAAATATAAAATAGATTGCTTCACTTTGTCAAATTGAATTGGCAAAGATTATTATTATTTTGTTTCTTGACATTAAATTCAATAGGTCTTAAACTACAAATAAGAAAGTTATGTCAATCTCCCAAATCTTAAATATTTATTACTAACGAGTTTCAACTTGAGAGTAGAGATTCTGAGTTTCAGGAGATATTTGTTTCGAAAATAGTTCTTCAAAAAAAATATATATATATATAAAATGTTTGGTGAGTTTTAGAAAAATTGCTCAAGAGAAAATAATTTATAGTCAAACTCAAAATACTCTTAAAACTTTGAAAAATTATTTAGAGTTCTCAAAAGAGTAAAATATTTTACAGAAACCCATGTCAATACAAGTTAAAAAAAAAAAAAATTGTACAATTAGAGAAATTATTAGGTATTTTCATGATTGTTTTAATAAAAATATGAGACCGATCATGAAAATTATTCACAAATTTTTTTTTTTTTATGTGAGAGACGGGAGTATAATTTTTGATATATTGAATAGTTTTTCTGTGTAATCATTATATTCTAAAATTTAATTGGAACCACGTCGATAAACAAGTTTAAAAAATACTATTAGTAAAAAGTCGTTGGCTCGAGATATATAAATGTAACTTTTTAGAGTACAACAAACAATCAATAAATATTTTTTATTTAAAACACCCAAACATGGAAAAATAACTTTTTTTTTTTTTTGGAAAATGGTTTGGGGTAAAATATTATTTGGAGAGACGATAATTGTTTGTAAGACAGCGACATTTAACCAGTTCAACTTTAATCGATGGATTAAGTAAGTGATGTACTTACCATACTATAAAATTAAAAGACTTGGCCACCTCACGCTGCCAAGTGATGTTCATTTCCCACGTATGGCATACACTTTAAGCGCACCACTGACATGCTCCTAGATGGAGAAATTATTTCATTTTCATGAATTTTCTTTTATTTATTTTGAAAGGCATTGTTTGACTAAACCCAAAAAAGAAAAAATTAATTCAATATGAATACCTTTCTTTTGACTCAGTGACGCAGGTAGCGTATTTTATACTTTTGAACATAAATATTTTTATTGTAATCCTTTTTTTTAATTATTCATTTTTTTAAGAATTTTTTTATCTTTAATTTAGTTAGACAATTGGTTCATTAGAAAATTAGGCATGACTTTAGGATTCTATTTTTATTTTATTTTATTTTATTTTTTATTAAGAATTGTTAAGGCCTTTTAGTTTCTTATTTAAAGAGTTGCAATAGATTTTTGACAAATAGAGAAAATGATTAATGATAAAATTGAGTTTTTCGTCACTTTTGTTGTGTTTTATTTTTAAAGGTTTTTGAATACAAACAAAATACACTTCGTTTTGCTATATGCTATATCAATTGATACCATATGAGAATTAACATGACTTATTGATAAATTGATTCCAACCATTTCAATGGTACAAATCATGAGATGTATGCTATGATATTATGCAGATTTATGATGCAACATCAATTTATTTAGAGTAGAGGCAAGATCGTCATTTTGAATAATTCAATAGGAGTTTTCCAACAATTAGAAAATATCATGATGTCTTAATGCTAGATTTCAACAAGTATTATGAGTATAATAAGTATCGCATTAGCAAAAGAGCTCGTAATTAGTCTATTCATAATCATATTTTTGCTTTTGAAAATGAATATGACATATTTAATTTTGTTAGGTTTTATTTCTAGTCAATTGCGTTTTTGGTGGTTTGTTACCACTCTATCACAAAGTCCTATGTTTAAGGGATTCTTGATTTTTAGTTTTATTTGGTCTTGCCATATCCTAGGATTTGTTAGACGTGGATCGTTGTTTCTTTTGTTCAATTTGTCCTATAAGGCTATATAATAACCAACATCTATTTTTATCAAGTTGTACGGCAATTTCTCCTAAATCTTTAAAGTTTTTAACTTTTTTTCAATTCTTAACATTTGGTATTAGAGCTTCTTCACGGGGGCCTAGTTGAAATTAGAAGCAGCAATCTTCTATCTGGATATAGATCAAAGTATGACGATAGAGAATTTGTTTGTATAGCCAACAATTTCAAAGTTTGATGGGCACTATAATCATTAGGTGATGCTCATGGAAAACTTCTTGTGCTCAAAGGAGTACTGGGGTTTGGTGGAGATTGGAATTCCTGCTGCAGCAGAAGGTTCTGTTCTCACATAAGCACAAAGAAAGAACATTAAAGATCATAAGTT